GCGTGGTGGGCTGCCCTCTGTTGCCATGGCAACAGGCAGATGGGGGGCTCCGTCGGGGTCAGCGGGGAGGCGGCCGCAGCAGCGCGCCGGACGAGCCGCTCAATAACAGCCGTTTCAGCTCTGACAGCTCTGCTCTGGCTGGCCAGAAGTAGTTATCAGATTACTTGTATTAAAACCTAATTAAGATGTGTGCCAGTAAATGCAGCACGGTTATTGGATTTGGCGATTTAGCTGCTGCAGGTTGCTGCAATCCAGTCACGCCATTTCAGCAAATTCAGCTCCGTGGAGTGGAGTGAAAACGTTTTACATCAGTAACCTGACTGTGCTGAAAGTGTAAATAACTTCTTAATGCCTCTGCTGTGTCAAGGACTGATCCCCACTGCAGGGTGAATGGACGCTGCCCACAAATCCTTGCATATTAATTTCTTTCAAATCAACTTTAAACCCAGAGGAGGGCTGACAGTTTGTGTCAGCTTTTCCCTTTGCTGTGGATTGCCTGTGGATTAATGGACCCGTGAGTCCCCCAGGGCAGGGAGCTTGCAGCAGGAGCCTTGTGGGTGCCCCAGTTTAGCAACGTGTCTTTATAGAAAAGACAGAAGCTTTTGATTTTGTCTGTAGGCCACAGACAAGGGGGCAATCTAAATACAACATAATGGGTGCTAGTCCAGCTTTGTGTTGTTGGATCCAGGGGGAGGTTAGTCTGCTGGAATTCACCTTGGTGCCAAAGCTCTGCTTTATGTTTGATGTTTCACCTAGAATCATAGAATCACTTTGGTTGGAAAAGACCTTTAAGATCATTGAGTCCAACCTTTAACCTAACCCTGACATCCCACCACTAAACCATGTCCCTAGTTTATGCATGGTCCTGCAGTGGTTATCTACCTGTAGCTGTCAAAATGTAGCAAAACCTATCTAACCCTTTCCATTTCATTTCTGGACAGGCTAGGGTATAGACTAGTCTCGGATCCAAATTTTACTGCTGTGCAGAGTGAGAGATGTAGTCTTCTGCAGGCTGTAGCAAGGTAGCTTGGAGCCGCTCTAACATAAAGCCACATATGAGCTCCAAGTACTGAGAATCAGAGCAAAACATTTACCTTGGAGCATTCATTACAGCTTGTGATGCCTCAGTTTTGTTCTCCTACTGTGGAACCACTTGTCTCACGAAGCTGCCTCTTTCCTGCAATCATATAGATACTGGAATTTTGGTGTAGAGTGGTTAATGGAAAATTTTTGAAGGGTGTTACTATTACTACTAAATGGGAGCTTACTCCTTAGTGCCAGGTTGTCCTGTAAGTAGCCCAAATGTAACGTGCTTCAAGAGCTACATGTCTTCACCTTGTGCCTTGAAGTAACATGACAGAGCATGGTGGAGTCAGTTCCTGCCCATCAGCTCTCCCAGGCCAAGGAGGAGCAGCCGCCTGACATCCTAGCTGGACAGATCTTGCCCCTTTGGTGGAAAAATGATCTCATTTGGAATGGGGGGCGAGGATACGGTGGTCACTCAGATGTACAGGACGCAGTACACGTTTGCCTGGTAGGTGGTGTTGCCAAAGTGAATGTGGCGACTGTGCAACCTCACTCGCTCGTATTAGCAAAATGTGCAGAAGGTTCTGTCACCCAGTTGTAAAAATGATGGCAGGCATCGATGTGCAGTTGTAACATATGGGAAGTACAGTGAATGTGGGTGGAGCTGTTCATTTCTCATCTTGAATCATTTACGAGATCAGCAGGCAGGCCAGATACAATGCATATGGGAATGTGTGGCTGTGCTGCACATGTCACACGTAATAGCAGATATTGTGAGAGGGCCCAGAGCCTGTCCTCAGGAGCTAAATGCACCAGAGCAGGCTGGTAGTCCCAGCATGCAGACCAAGGGCCAGCTTGGCAGCAGTTTTGGGAGAGCAGACTGGTAGACAGAATTTGGGAATTCACGGACCAAGATCTGCACTGACTAGAACTACTCCCTCATTATCCATCACGACCCAGAATTGTAGAAAGGAATGTTATTAACCCTGTACTCAAGCACTGGAGATAGATACAGATGATAAAAGTAAAGTTGTGGCCTGCTAGTTGAACCCAGCTCAGTGCCTGGGTCATCTTTCTCCCTCTGCTCAAGGGGACAGTCCAAATGTAACACGGTGGGTGGTGAAGTTGCAAAACAGAAAAGCATAATTGAAGTATTGCCATAATTAAAGACTTTTTGATTTACAGTGGTTTACCTGAATCACCCTTTGCATGATCTGAAAGGATATAGAGCTTTAAAATTGAGCGCACTAAGGTTTGCATCCGGTAATGTTTTTGAAATTTGTATGGGCTGCCTGTGAGTATCTAGTAGAAAGTGTTGTTTTGCTGTAAAATTCCCATGAGCTGGAAATGACTTCTCGTTGGGTGCCAGAACTGGAGGAAGTTCCTCGCAGTGAAGTGGTGGCTCTTCAGCTGGAGCCATCTCCCCGCCAGAGGAGCGGCACGCCAGGGAAGGGCCTCTCCTCAGGGCTGCAGCAGTGGCGTTTGCTCTTGCAGCCAGGATGGGCCCTACTGCTGCGATGGGCACTGCTCGTCATGTTGCTGTGGAGATGGGGGTCAAGGGGTTTATGCACTTACCCATGTCTTTAGCTGCCAGTAATGATAATTTTGTGCGAGAGGGTCTCTCAAAGGCAATATGATTGTGCTGAAAACAGTCTGAAACACTAGCAGAACGGGTAATTTTTTAACTGAACATAGAAGTCAGCAGATATTTAATTTTAAGGGCCTGAACCCAGGCTGTAGTTGGTCATTGTTGAGTCGGGCTCTTATGTGTGAGGACTCCATAGGCTCAAGGCTTTAAGCAGGTAAGGCAGCACTGGAGCTCTTCCCTTGGCTGTCTGAAGACCACACTTTCCAGTTACACCTCCCTACCAGTCCTGCTATAAAGTAGTAAGTACTCTAGAAGTAAAGGATTGGAAGATGTCTTTATTATGCAAATCAAGAAGTGCAGTAAGGTCACATATCCTCCTCAAGTTAAACGAAATCAATGGCAAAGTAGTGAGCAGAACTCAGCTCTCCAGTCTGAAACTACAACGTTGCCTCCAGCAACCACCACTGTTGTTCTTGCACTCCCTGGGAGTAAGATGCTCGTGGGAAAGCTACTATCTTTAAAAACAAAACAAAGAACAGTAGAGTCTGAGTTTTCATTTGGGGGTGGGGGAAGTTGTGCTTTGGTTTTTGAAGTTCCACGCCCCTAAAATCACCTTTAGTAAAGAAATGAAGCATAAACAGCTCCTGTACCAACATGGTATAGTTTGGAAGGTATAGGGAGTGTGAAATTAGATACACAGTGTGTAAATGTATATTTAGTAGAATATCCTGTGCTATCAAAGTGGTGGTTTTGTTTGCGTCATTGGACGTTTACAACCAGCTGTTGCTGTTTGCACTAGCTGCATTTAGTTTTGTTTTGATCCCCAGGAGATGGTCCTGCAGCTCCTCAAATCCCTTTTGCAAGGAGATGTTAGCAGAGTAACAGAATACTATGAAATACGGGAGTTCACAGTGTTTGCTACGTGATTGTTGCAGTTTGATTTTTAAAGAAGTTGGCTGGCAGATACAGATCAGTAAATACTGGTTTTGACATAGATTTTGGCAACTTTGTTTCAGCTAGATTTTCCTAGCTTTTTATCAAGAAATTTGGGGGTGTTTACTAATGCAGTTATTTGAACAATCCTGATTAAGGATGTGAATATTCAGAGTGATTAGCTTAGCTGAGTTATGACAGCTGTACAAGTCAAACTACCACATGGAGCTGAAAGTAGAAAGATTCAGAAAATTGCATGCCTTATTGTAAGCATAGAACTAATTCCATTAAAAACACAGCCTGGATGAGAGATGCAACCTAAAAACCTCATTCAGCTGAAGCTGTATTTCAATATGTTGAGCAAGAAATAGTTTACAAAAGCAAGTGTGAAATTTAGATCCAGAACTAACCTTGGCAAAACAGAGTCAGTCCATGCTCCCTAGGTGCATAGTGTTTAGATGTGTAGGTTGTTCTCTGGAATACTCTCTAAAGACAAGAAGCTTCTAAGATATCCGAAAAGACTTCTAATTAAAGGTATTTCCATTTAAAGAGTGAAGTGCATTTAGAAGCCGCAATTTCCAGCTTATTTGTGTTTACATCCCTTGCTACAGGTCCCAAGCAGAGTTTTTAAATGTTTCATGGCAGGAGTAAATAAGCAGCCAGTGGGGACACAACAAGCCATACCAGATTTTGCGATTAAAGAACTAAAGGTGTGGTTGCCCTGTCTGCAGCAGTGTGGTCCCAACTCGGGCCAAGTTGTCCCAACTTGTTTTTCAAGTGTAAGCAAAAAGCCTCTGCGTGTTCCTTCTGACCCCCGCCAGCTTGTTCCCTCTGGCTCGCAGGCCCTGGTGAGGAGGACCTTTGGAATGACAGGCTTTTTGCATCCTTCCCCAGGAGTCCCTGTTATGCTATTAAAGGATCTACGCTGATGTGCGTAATTGCCACTAAGCTTACTTGAAATAAAGGTTGCATTCTGTAACGAGTTCTGGGCATGAACCAGGTTGCAAAGAGCAGTGGACAGAAAACAAAAGTTTTTGTCACTTTAGGTCCAGTTTGTCAGAGCATTGGGATATTTGGATTTATAATCTGGGCTGGTGTGTATGTTTCAGGAAGACGGTTACTGAAGCAGCCGGAGAGCATGCAGCTAGATGAGCTACAGGAATCGGGATGCAGTCCTGAGGTCTTTACTGATGTCACTTAATGGCAAAGCAAATTCACTGTCATGTCATGATAAGGCTTCTGAATTAGAAGTGCAAATCTTTAAAAGCGCTCGTTTAAAGTGTGAAGATAAAATGTATTGAATGCCCATCCTAGGAGTAATACTTAGTCTCAGCCCAACCATCAGACTGAGCACAGTCATCTGGGAGCTGTACCCGCCAGTGCAAACATCAAAGCTTCGACCGTGAACTCCAACTTCAGATGCTCTGCAACCTTTTTATCTATTTTTTTCCAGGTTACAGCAGCTTGACAAGCACTGCCAGGCCACTGCCCAGCAGTTAGTGGAGTTGCTCAACAAACAGAATCAGCTCTTCAAAGAGAAGCAGCTGCTTACAGAAGAGGTGCAGTTTCTGCGAATACAGGTACTGTGCCAAAAGAAAAGAAAGTCTGAGGGGAACATGCTGCAGCTTCAGCAGAGAAACCCGCCAGCAGTCTCATTTCAGCTGTTGGGTTTTGTTGCTGTTGTTGTTTTAAGTAAGGCATTTACCTTACGAAAAAAAAAAAATCCACACAATTGGAAAGAGACGGGTAGCTGGACCCGTGTCCTACTTCAGCCTGAACTAAATGAAGAAAGTGTTTTGAGGTGACAGTAAGACAGAAGTTTTTCTTGGTGACAGTTCCTAGCTTGCTTATCAGAAGATTTTGTGTTCCTTTTTCTGAGAAGAGGGAAATCCGTTCTTTGACAGCATTAACATTTAACCAGTAGCTTGATGTTGATAGTTTGAGTTTTTTGCAGACATTTGTCAGACTTGAGTCTCCCTACCACCTTGTGACTTCCCCCTGTCCCTTATTTTTAAAAGTCATTTATCTTTCCTGCTGCTCCACAACCACTCACCCAAGTGTGAGATGGAGAACATGGTATCGTCTGCCTGAGCTCTAATCACTGCCCTCCATCTCTAGCAGGACTGACTCCTGCTTCCAGTGGTCTCTAGGAAGCTGCCAGTAGCACACCTAGCAGGAAACAGGACATGAATCATCTCAGAACTTTAAAATATTTGAATCACACTATTTTTCATAGGCTTTTTAGCTGTAGATTTTAATAAATGTTTAACCCAGGAGAATAAAATCCATGTTTTGTTAAGCCTTTAATCATGTCAGTATATTTGGTTTTACAGAATTTCCTGTTGTAATAGACAAACTTGGTAGCTCAAGATAGTTAAGGTTATCAGCACATAGTAACTACTGGCAAAATTCAGGGCAGCCATAGTGCTCTCTCTGTAAGATAGCTTAAGGTGGTGGTAGTTCAGAAAAGAAAATTAAAATTTCTGTTTTAAGGGGAGCATTCTTGGTAATGTAAACAGACTTTATGTGGTCCACAGAGATTTTGTTGTAGATAATCTATCTTATCTGGAAACAAGTGTGCTTTTATGAAGTTGGGCAGAAATACTAAAATCATACAACAGGGGAAAAAATCATTCAGATATTACACTGCTATCAAGACTTGACTGGCAAAAGCTTCCTTCTTTATGTTCATTGCAAGTTAATTGTGCTCCAGAGGATACTTTTTAATTTGAGAACACTCAGAAGAGAAGAACAATATAAAAAATTATTACAAAATGAGCCCTAAAAATCTATTTGCAGCTATTTAAAGCAACGGTGGTTCTCTGGGAATTGGAATTCAGCCCAAAAGAGCTGCCTGGAATATCAGACAATCATTTTAAGAAAACTAAAGAACAGTTCACCATACATGAGAGATTTTAACTACAGAAAGATGTCTGTCTGTGGTTAGTGTAGAAATATGTATTAAAAAAATCAGTTGCAGAATCAGTGTTGATGAAAGGTGAAAGTGACATCATATTCCACATTTTATTGTATTGTTCAACTCGTATTCCTTTATAATAATTTTATTTTTTTTAGCAGGGGGGAAGGGGGAGAAAGAAATCATACCTAATCTTTTAAAAATGATATAAAATACACTGACCTAAATGTGCTGTTGTATCTTGGAACATAAACCACTAGTAACTGCAGTTGCATATTTCAGGAGAAAAAATGGGATGCAGATCTCAAGCAGGACACAGATGGAATCAAGTAAAAACCTGGATGGATAAAGAGAAATGAGCAGAAGTAGGTATTTTTTCTATATCCTATATACAGAGAGAGGGGAGGGAGAGGAAAGGAGGACTAAAACTATTTGCAGATGTGGGTTGATTCTGGCAAACACTTCAAGACAAAAGGGAGAAGGAAGTGTTTGAAATATTTTTGGGTTTGAAATTGTTGGAGGTTTTTGTGCTTGTTTCTTTTAAGCACTTAAAAATTTAGGACAAGCACTCCACGCAAAAACAGGTTTGACAGAACTAAAAAAAAAAAAAAAAAGAAAACCCTTAAAGATATAAATTGGAAGGAAAGGTGGGAACTTCTAGAACTCAGATTTTACCATAGGTACTTTTTGATCTGAATGATCACTGAGTGTTTGTCTTTTGACTTGGAATTGTTTAGTTTTGTCACTTCCAGTAGTGTTTTCCTTCTGAGGAAGCAGAATCCTCTCTATTTCTTCAGAAAGGCTACAATTTGTTTTGTAATAGATCATAAAACTTACTGTCATGTTGAAACATTATGTAAATAATAATGCTGTTGGAGTTACAGTACTGCTAGCTACATAGCTATAGCTGTTCCTATCACCTTGTAAGAGTTATGTAATTTTAAAAGCCCCAAATTTAAAATTGCATCATTTATATTAATCTAGCTGATGTAGGGGGAAAAAAAACCCCAAAACCACTGGAAAGCCTGTAACCTTCTTACGATTTGTTTTCAAAACTCAGGTTACTTCCACTGCAATTTCTGTTTCTCATGTTAGTGTTTGCTAGGGGGGGTGGGGCGAAAGAAAGAGGAAAAAAAAATGTCTTTAAATCCAGCTACATTCTGGTGTGTTGAGAGTCTGTTTTTCATGGAAAACTGATTTGACACTGTAAGGAAAATTCTGGAATTTAAAGTGAATGAAAATAAAAAAGTCATCATAAAAGAAATACCCGTTCCTGCTACATGCTGAATTCCCTTAGCATCCTTGTTGAAGGAATAACCGAGACAAGTACCACCGTTTTCAAAATATCTTTCTCATTCTCAGCAGTGAATGACAAGCTTTTCAAGCTTTTAAAATTATAAAGTTAAATCTCCTATTACTTGAAAGAAGCTCAATATTATTTCAGAATAACCTCCTGCCTACAACATGATGAAGATGCTCACACTGTAATTTTCATTTTCATAGAACTAAGAAGGATCAGTACGGGAATGTGGCCTGACCTTACAGCCAGGGTTGCGTATTGGGTCATTATACTGATATGCAATAGATGGCAGTAATATTTAATAATGGTATACAGCATAACATATTCAGGTCCACATAAAGGTCGTCAAAAGTTTAATTATGGGATTTACACCTCTCGTTTTTAAAGTTTTTGAAAGATTCAAGTTTTGAGTTTCTGCCTTTGAAAGTCTCTCTCATATTGCAATTCACTCCAAGTCAGGAGGAGAGAAGAGACATCTAGCTCCCCTCCTTTACAGCTACTAAATACAAATGTGCATTGTATAGCAAACAAATACCTAAATTGACATCACTAGAAACCTCAGCGCTGCCCACCCAGTGTATGCTTCTGAAAGCTGGGATGCTCCTCACTTGCAGGATCTGCCTTGGTGACTGTCAGTTTGACAGAAGTGTTTGTCCAGGCTAATAATCCCCTCACAGACCCCGGCTGCGGGAAGGGGCTGCTGGCTGGCTGAGCCAGCGAGAGCCCAGACTGACAGGATTCGGACCTTGGGGATCACCTCCGGGTCCTACGCTGCTGCTCTGCCTTCTCCCCTAAATATCTCCCCCTGCAAGCCAGCCCCTCCCGTACGGCTGAGCTGCTCGGACTCTCCTCCCTCATTACAGATGGCTTTTTCACAGTGAGCATGCCTGTGAACAGACCGCCTTCCTTCTGAATAGGAGTTAGAATATATTCACCCGTGACCATATTCCCATCCTCGTCCCTCTAGGCCCTCCATGGGAGGTACTGTCAGAATTACAGCCATTTCTGAGCGGTGGTTTTCTTGGTTTTCTTACATAGCATGAATTTTTCAGTGAGGCCCCAGCAGCTACTGCAGTGCTTGACATGCTCCCAAGTGCCCCATTTGCTTTTGGTTTTTTTTCATTATATGTTACAGAAGAGGAGCTTTATGTCCAGAAAAGAAGTAGCTTGTCCATCTCTAATGTCAGAAGTGATACAGGCTCATCCTTACGCAGCCCTCAACTGGTTTTCCAGAGACCTGAAGACTGCTTAGGTTACTGGGGGGGAAAGCATTTTTTTTGTGTGTGTCTGTGTAATCTAAATGCACAAAAATAGTGCCTCTGCCCAGTGTTCATAACAGCCAGTGACATTCCACAGCCAGGGGTTGGTTGTTGCGGTCTTTTTAAGCAGGTGAAAGGAAAGTCTTCATTACTCCTTGGATGGAGTTTAGTTAGAGATGATGAGAATTAAACTGACAGGAGCAGAGACAGGTAGACCTCTGCTTGCTGGCTGACTGCCCTGACATGACACTTCAATTGCTGCATCACTTCGTATTTAGCCCTTTGGGGTTTGTGAAGCTGCAGCTGCAGGAGGCCCACACCTCCTGTGCAGTGTCTGGCCCCTGGGCAAAGCTGGGGAGCAGCTCAGGAGCCAAGTTTGGCCCTCCTGAGAGCTCCACCTTGAGTTCTGCAGCTGTGCAAATGACAACTGAGGCTTTCGAACCAGACAAGAAGGTAGTGGCTCCTCTCCCCTCCATTAAGAGTAAAAAGTGTTAACAAAAGTCATGTATGCACCCTGAGGCTTTGGGGTGGAAATGTTGGTACCAAACTGGTTTACATGTGTACAGACAGGGCTGGTGAAAAGGCTTTTTGTGGCCACAGGTGAGAAGATGACAATGACAGCTTCTGAGTTAGAGCCATGTGTGACCCTATGACATTTCTGGGGTAGAAATGTTTTGGAGTTAGGTGGTACAAAAGCCTACTGTCTGAAAAGGGGTGCCTGAAAAAAGGAGGGTAACCTTGGGGTACAGATGGGCACACTCACTTCAGTAGTCAGCGGGGAGAGCAGTGGGTGAACCTGCCAGGCTATCAACTGGGTCACCCAAGGGCAGCTGTGTGGCAAGAGGAATGGGCTGGTTGGGCATGCTGCAAGCAACCCACAGTAGCGACGACTGTCAGGAGACTTCTTCAGGAGCTGAGTGTTTGGGTTGGGGGGTGTTTGGGTTTGGGGTTTTTTCCTTCCTAATCTCTGCCTGTACGTTAATGCTGGCCATACACAGAGGGTCACTGCAGCGTGGAGTGGGTGTCCCCTGGCTGTCACTAACCAGTCACTGACAGGGAATTCAAGCCCCGAGGCTTTCTGGGGCTGTAGTTCATTCTTCCTTGCACTGATTGCAGAAACAACTGTAGCAGTTGGTGTTGGTGCATGTATTTTGGGGGGGAAAAAAAAAGTACCATGTTACTGTTTTTAATTAATTCTTTAATGAACAGCAGCTTCATAAATTCTCCTTCTTTAACTCAGCCCCAATGGCCTTATCAACTAAGAAAAAAAAGCAAACCCCTTTAGTCCTCTAATGCAAAACCAGCCAAAGTAGAAACTTTTATTTTTATTTCTGATGTCATTTACACCTTTTAAATTCAGATTTGAGAACTCCAGTGGCTTAATTCTAGGTAGCTCCCCCAGCTCCAGTAGTTTTTGACGTCTCGCTCTGAATTCCATCCCGACGCGCTACCGAGGAAGCACGCACCGTAGCTATGCAAGCGCTGCAGGCCGGCGAATTAGCCTTCCCACCGGAGGTTTCCTACCAGCCCCCAGGCAGCAGGTTCCTGTTTTGCTGCCGCTGCCCGCCCCACACACAGGCTGTACCATTCACAGTAAACACTCGCTGGCACAGACCTGCCGCCTCCTTCCTGGAAAGGAGAAGGGGCAGGATCACAGACGTGCCCCAAAACAAGAGCTCAGTTATTTACTGCTAAATGCGAGCGACGGCTGAAGCTCATGGAGATCCTGTTTTTCAGAAATCAGATCGCTCTTGTTCTTGCTACCTGTAAGGCTTCTCGTCTTAGAAAAAGGCAAGGACAGCAGGCCCACAGGAAGCGCAGGCTTTCAAACAGCGCTTGTTTACACTGCATTACCACGGTCTCAACCGTCGCTGTATTTCTCTTCCAAGAACTCACCCGCAGGCTGAAGCGACACAAATGAGAAACACCAGCGAGGGGATAGGGACTACTTACTTACGCGCCTGGCGCTCTCTTTTGTCTTTCAGGTCTGCTCTGCACCCGGCTGAAACGTGGGCTTGCCTGAGGCTCACCCAAAGACCCTGCTGCAGAAGAGAGGCATGCTTGCTGGCGAGCTTCACCTGGTTTCTATTTGGTTTTAACTACAGAATCATAAATAGTTTGAAGCATTACCAGCCCACCAAGCTTCCTAGGAAGACAACTGAGACTTTTCTGAAAAGAAAAGCCAGTTTTAACAGCTATTACATGGTGTGGACTTAATTCATTATTTGCACATTTTTTTTATAAAATGTTTTAAACTATTTTTCTAATTGAACATAGATGTCTTTATTTACAGACTGAAATACCAATAAACTGAATTAGATTCTTATTTTCTTCATTCTGTCCTTCTGAATTCAAGTGGAAGCATGTGCCTGGGGAGGAGGGGACTGTTTGTGAATCCTGCACCAGCACACTCATTACCAGAATCTACCTGGGAACTTTATTTTTACAAGGTATTTGTCACTCTTTATACAAAGGTGAGAGCCCCAACAACTGTTCATCCATCAGAAAAGCATAAGACTGATTATATGGAATATTTCTCAATGTGGAAGAATTTCCAGGGGGCAGGTTACCCTTCAAAGCTCTCAACACCAAAGTGGTGATGCTAGGCTTTTCCACCAGCAAATATTTAGCAGTCTGGGAGATGGGCACCAGGTGAACTTGGCTTCAAATTATTGACCTCAAAACACTTGGAGGATGCAGTTGGAGGGCTTTTTTTCTCCTGGTTAATAGTGCACTTGTGTTTTTAAAAAGTACTTTCCAAATACCAGGCTGTTTCAGCAGTAATTTGTCTGAAGCTTTTGCTAACTAGTGCAGGATAAACTAAGTACATAAGCAAAAAGTTTCTGCATCTATTGACTTCAGTGTCGTTGTGGAATTGCACTAGCAAAGGGGGAAAAAATGCAAAGAACAGTTCCCCAGTAATGAAGCTCCTTCAGTCAGCATGAACACATAAAATGTAACATAAGTAGGGTAACCTCACATGTGATAGGTTACCATTTGCGGTGGGACACAACCTTTCCTCCTCTTGTCTTTTCAGAATTACTAGTGGTACAGCCCTCACATCAAAGTGGTTTGGTTTGGGGTGGTGGTTTTTTTCCCTCCCTAGTTCAATTTCCTGCCGTATGAAACTGCCAAACCCATCTGATCACCTCCCTGACCTGCATCACCAGGATGACACTAAACATGCTTAAAATGGCCTCAGGTCTTTAGGGACAAGAAAGCCTGAGGAAGAAAAGCCTAGTCAAGCTCTGGGTTTTCCACAGTAATCAGGCCGACGATATTTTAAGTGTCACTACTTTATAGATGGTTACACAGGTAAGAATATACATTTATAAATGTAGGAATATGCAAACATTTTTTTAAATTTTATTTTTGATTATTCCACAGCAGAAATCTGTGTTTAAATAGGAGAAAGTACCTATAGGCTATGGGCGCAAAGGAACTCAGGCACCTCCTCCCAGCACTTAGGCTTCACTGAGATCCTGGCACTGCCATGCCCGGGCCTGAGGCACAGCTGGACCCTCAACCTTTCCGGACAGGCCTCACCTACCACGTGGCTCCTGGTGGCTGCGTGCAGGGCCTGCTACCAGCTGCCCACGTGCACGTACATGTTTGATTTCACCAAAGCATCCTGGGCTGCTGGGTATCTGCAGCTGGAAGGAGGTTTTCCCACTTGTCCCAGGCGTAGGCTCAGTTCATTATGTTGCTGGGAGTCTAGAAGGAATCAGTTGCCCTGCAGCAGTTACTCTGCTCTGTAGCAATTAATTAGTCATTAAGCACAGACAGTGCTAGGTCTGCCTGGCTCACGTGCCCCCACCCCGGCCTCTACTTAGGCACAAAATGCTCGTTTTTACGAAGTTTACAAGTGTCAGACCAGGCGATCGGATCTAAGACAGCCCACCTCCACAGCCAGCGCGTGAGCCCATGATGGGGGACACAGCCTGACCAGTCCCACCGCTGCCGCAGCCGAGTCCTGGTCGCTGATCTCCTAATACCACTGAGCTAAAGGCTGGCTGGCTTGTGCTCATTCCTATTATGAGACAGAGGAGAAAAAGAAAAAAAAAAAAAAGAAGGGAAAAGAACAGACGTGGATGAGGCACCCTCGATGCCAGGGAAGCGCTCATGTCTGAGATCTGAGCTACAACCCAGGTGACTGGCTGCTTTAGGGACACTCAGCCCTCCTGACCGGCTGGCTCAAAGGGCCCTGGACCGGCTTGTGGGCTTCAAAGAGTCCCACTGAGGTGCCCTGCAAATCCCACCTTCCCGTGGTCTTCCTCTCCTTACCCTACCGCACTACCTAGCTCTGGGATGTGAGGCTCTGCATTTCAGTAGATGACAAATCGCTGAAATCATGGGTGCTCTGCCAGGAACGCAGCCCTGTGTAATCATTACTTGAAAAGCGTAACCCAAATTTACAAGCAACACACACACCTCGCAGAGTCAACATGAACCGCCTGTGTGGAAACAGCCTTGCTCCAAAGCACAGATACGTCTTGCTTAGTCATAGAAACTTTTTTTTTTTTTTTGACAATACTGTAACTTCATCATTTACAAGCTGAAACTGATCACCCGGTATTTGAAATACGTCACAGCGAGTTACAGTTATCACTAGGACTTCACAGCAAATAAAACTTGTAACTAAACATGCACAGATCATTTTATATATACAGTGATAAAAAAATAACGATGTACATTTTCTTGTAAGAAGAAATTAAGTAAATTCTTTGTGCATTTCAGGATTGAAACACCTAACCTATATAAAATTACTTTAAAATATGAAGTAAATATTTAACCCAAAACTTGAGAAATCTTTTGTAATCTGCAATATAGGCTTCTCATTTCAGTTTTTCTTTCTCTGACACAGAACAACTTAGGACTTTTATCCTCCAAGAGATTTAATAGTAATGTGCAGATATAAAAAAATACGTCCTTTGTGGCAAGCCTGAACATATATATATATATATATTTACAAACCTCCAGAACAAATTAGCATTAAAAAACACAGAAGTAGCAGATTGACATAGTGCTTTATTTAAGCTGTCTGTACGAAGGAAAATAATGTGCATCCCTATCATATACGTGTAAAAATACTAAGGATGTACAGTGTACAAAAACAGTTTCTTGTAGTTATTTCACATCCTTGTGGGTCATATACTTAAGGAAATAAACAGTTTAAGTATGACCAACAGTAATACGGTTTCTTGGGTTCATAGTCGTGTCTGCGTAATATCCTTAACCATATGACTAGATCTTGCATGGATCTAATGAAAGAACTAGCAAGGTCAAGAAATGTCACAAACTCTAAAGCTACAGGGAGGTAATTCAATTACCAATTTAGAGGTTTTTATTTAAATAAATACTTTACATTTCATGCTTGCCTGTAATGCACTACCAGGAGCAAGATAAGGAAATTCTACTGTAGACAGTACAAACAGTAGCAGCAAAGTGTGTACATTGAGGTGTAATATATAGACCCTGCAGTTAGTAAGGAAAGACCTTACTTTTGTACTCTAGGAGAAGCACATGGCCCCTGCAAGAACAGTCAGCTTTAAGAAGCCGCAAGTAAAGATGGGTAAAAAAAAAAAAAAAAAAGCAAAAAACCCAAAACGTAAAACAATACTGGAATAAACGTTCTTTAAGCAACAGGAATGTACTGGAAGATGGATTAGTGTGGAAAGCGAAGCTGTGTGCAAAACTGCCAAAAATCCAAACAGAAATGACCTATTTCCTCCCAGATGGCTGCAGTACAAGAGGGCATACTGTGTGGCATGGAAGTCAGTACAAGCTGGAGTCAAAGTCTGAAATGTACGGTGCTCGAAAGGCTCACCCTGGTAACCAGCCGCCACCTCCGGTCCAAATCCAGCCCACAACTGCCAATAGCAAAAGAGGAGCTGCAGAAGTTTCTCTCGGCACTGCCCGCCCCTTTGGCTTTCAGCTTGTTCAACACTGGTGAGAGAGAGAGAACCCCCCAGCCCGGGGCAGCACGGGCCCCTGACTCTCTCCGCAGGGTAACCTTGGTCAATGACACTTCAGAAGGCAGACAAGCCAACACACAGTGAAGCCTTACAAGGTCCTCAAACCATTCACCGACAGGTATTTACCACAAATCCCATCCCAACTAGCTCCACGACAGTGAGCTAACCACAGGGTTTCTGCTGCACGCAAGGAACGGCTGGCCGGAGGCACGGCACCCCTTGGTCATTAGTGAGAGGGGCCCCATGTCAAGAAACTTATTGCTATTACAAGCTGAAAACATAGGGGAAAAAAACACAGGCATGTAACACAGATTTTTAATCACCATAGTTTTAGTCTGTAAGTATGAGGCCTTTGCAGAGAACTAATTAATGCCCATCTATTAAGTACTCAGTTATTTCAGTCGCTTGCTCGCTGCATCAGTGTAGACGCCCCTACGCTACCGGTGCAGACCCGCAACGCGTTTGCTGCACTCCTCTCTCGCTCTGTAGAGGGAGAATCTCTACACGCACTTAGTGTTACAAGGTGACAGAATGAGATCCTATGTAGTCAGAATACACACCATGATAAATTTCTGACTGATTATCCATCCACTGCTAAAGATAAAACACGAAACATGAACAATTGTCTGAATTAGCCTGCGTCTTTAGCTGCCTTGCTGAAATGCCCACCTACCCCTTGACCGTCCCAGCACATGCACTGCCAGCAGTGGGCTCTGTGCCAGGACACTCAACTTTCCACATCAAGAGGCCAAGGCACCCGCGTAGGAACATCTCCCCTTTCAGACTCGTCTACTCATTCGCACAACGCAATCGGCAACACTCAGCGGTATCACAGTCTTCGTGGGAACTAACAAGATCCCAACGCAGAGATGCTTCGAATGATAATCCCACAGAGTCAGGGGTTTCAGATGTCATTAGCAAGGGCAGGTGCACGCTACCACGGCACCGCGTAATGCCCCGACTCCTAGCACCAAAGGGTTTATTATTAAGATTATCATTGCTGAAGATCAAAGCTAAAGTTTACGCACACATTCTGTTAGACACAGATCTTCGGAAACGGATGACGTTTTCCTTCTCATGATGTTTTAAATTCAGTCAATCAGGTACCACGGTTACATGTAACACGCCGGGTTTCGGGACTCTTTTGGTTGAGGGCAAACCTTCCTGAAGAACGGCTGATCCCAGAATTTTACTATTTTAATTATTAAAGTAAAGTGCTTTTCTTGTAATCACTGTGGTCTCATTATTCAAATGCAATTCCTTCATCTAGAACAGAATTTTTCTATTGTGTTGTCAGGCTCTTTTACATTACATTTATCCTCAATGGAGCACAAGATGTAGCTTTTTTGCCTGTTTGTTTTTAACTTTGGCACGTGAAGCTGGAATTCCTCACCTCCACTGCCAAACAATTAAAAGACAGTACTTCATTCACAAAAATCTGATTCTAAGCACTATGTACAATTTCAGAGCCTTGTTAAAATTTCCACATGGGAGAAAAGTGCATTATTCCCTTCAGCTTGTACAGTCCTTCCATATATTACAAAATTAACTGCTATAAGCCTGTTCTATCTAAGATGTAGCAGCATTTGCAAACATGACACATACAATCCTTATCGCTAAAAATAAATACTACTGCAGTATAACAAAAAAAAAAAAAAGAATATTCAGAGTTAAACACCTGGAGAAAAAGCTAATTCACAAACTCAAAATAAAAACGAGTAAGGCAAACACCTGTTTACCTTGGTGCACACATTTTGGTGAAAAGCAATACCATTATGCCTGTCTACATTCTTCAGCCATCAGAGGTGATGTATATCATGAAAGAAAAAGAAAAGCATGAGAAAGATGTTATCTGGTGCAAATTAGAAGACCCCTTAAACAACTTCAACTGCTGCTTTTATGCCTTCATTTCTTGCATGTATAATGTTCGATTCTCCATGATTGCACATGAACCTGGAAGTTCTACGTGGCAGGCTGGGTGAGCCCAGCCCTTCTGCTTCTTCTGTAGTATCCAACAGTAATTAAAAAATAATATATATATATTTATATATATCAACAGTTTAAGTCCTTCTCTCAAACGTTTCCTAAACAAATTCCAGCCAGATGTTAATGACAGAGACCTGCTTCAAGTAATGATATGCCTAACAAAAACCTTGCATATGTACATCACCACCCCCTACGTTTCCTTGTTCTAACCAGCACAAACAGATGAAAGAAAATGTTATAGACTCGCCTTTTTAGACTAATTACAATTTTGATTCATCTTCTAGAAGAAGATAAGCTGGACCAACATGCTTTTTGTTTAGCCTCCACTGTGAGGAAAAATAGATGACTACTGGTGCACAAAGTGTACAGTGCTGAAGGCAAGTCATCGACCTCCAGCGACACCATTAGTAACTTCTCAACGTTGTTATTACACTGAGACTGTGGGCAGCAGCAACAGCAGGAGGGCGTAGTAGAGAAAAACCTCGTATTTCATGCAAAACCGAAATGGAGTTTAGGTAGGTTTGGGATAGAAACTTGTTCAATTTGGAATGGTCTCTGAAAGTGCCCCTGCTACCTTAAAGAGTATCTAGCACTGGTGGTGATGTTCAGGAATCATTTTCAGTGATAAACCTAAGATGACAGTGAAGCAGCAGAACAAAAAAGTTATTCTCGTCCACTTGCAGAGTAGGAAAATTGGGGGAAATGCGGCCGCCTCTCATTGTCCATGCAGTCCATACCATCCTCGTCATCTGTATTAAGGGAGAAGTTCAAAATGTCATTATATTTGCAACAAAATTTTATTATTCACCTGATACCCAGCACATCTTTCAGGGTTCAGTGCTAGCGTTAAAGACTCAAGTTAAAGTAAGACTTTATTCGCATAAGCTGATGCTCGTACAGCAGAATGACGCTCACAGACAGGATAACCTTTCAGTAAGTCACCGTTTATTTCAGGGTGGGTTGGTTGGTCGGTCAGGTTTTTTTCTGATAATGATCACCTGGGAACTTGACTACATGTTCTAGGCTAATCAAAATGTGCCAGCACATAGAATCATAGAACACCAGGTTGGAAGGGACCTCAAGGATCATCTGGTCCAACCTTTCTAGGCAAGAGCACAGTCTCAACAAGATGGCCCAGCACCCTGTCCAGCTGAATCTTAAAAGTGTCCCAGGTGGCAGAGTCAACCACTCCCCTGGGGCAATTATTCCAATGGTTGACTGTTCTCATCATGACAATCATGTCCAATCGGAATGTCCCCAAGAGAACTTTTGTCCATTCCCCCTTGTTCTCTCCATGTGACTCCTTGTAAAAAGGGAATCTCCTCCTTTTTCGTAGCTACATCTAGCTTCTGGTAGCACAGAAGCCAACTGCCGATTGAAGCAGGCACTTTTCATTGTTTCTTAAGCTGAGGTCAGGAAATTATCACCTTACTGTAAATATATTTAAATATTCCTCCATTTCAAAGGGAGTTAAAAGGAAGAACAGCTACAAAATGAACAATTCATGCAGGTTCTGTGTGTTTCCATTCTTACATATTATTTTTTAGTAAACTATTTATTTTTGCAGTATTTACTGGGATCAGAGGAAACACGGACTAAGCCAAATTCATAAATATTTTTATTTACATAATTCCTGCAGTGCCAATGGAAACCAGGCACCAGATGTTGCCTAACTCTGAGAATTTGGATCTCCATTCTCAAATGGATTTTTTTACAGTGCTTATCCATAAAGACACCTCTTGAAATTCTTACTCTAATGATGTATTTATATGCAACCCTTCAGAATTATGTATCTTTTGTATCTTCATATATTCTACATATAAAAAACAGAGTTAATACCGGTTTGAGCAATCTCTATGATTAGGCTGCTCAACTTCAATAGTGCCTTGCAGTTCTGTAACTTCAAATACAGTCTCTCTTTTACACTGTCAATTTAAATTAGGTTGATGTACAGAGTTTGTTTGGTTTGCTATCACTGATTACTGCAGATACAAGATATGGTTTCAATATTCACTTAGCGTGATTTGTAAAACTTTGATATCTCAATAACTGGCCTAAATGTTATGAAAATTATTTCTGTAAGTATAAAAGATCTTGAGTTCAGCATTAGCTTTCCAATACACCGTTACCAACCCTCCAGCCCTAAACCACATTTTAACCCCCTTTTGCATAATCACACCAGGCAGAGGTGATACCATGTTGTAGGGAATGCTTGTAGATTTTAAAAGAAAAATAATGAACAATAATTTCCTGTTGCAATGCTCAGAAAAGGGAAAACCCCATGCGGTCCTTGAGCCGCTGCAGTTCACCACAGAAGGCAGCGGTGTTCCAGATCTACCCGGCAGGAGAGGAAATTCGCCTCTGTGCTGCTGGCGATGCTACTTGCCGCAGCTGCAGGTAAGGCAGCCCTGGGAGGGCTCCCCACGTCAGCAGCGCCACAGCCCATCTCTGCACTGCTCCTGGTCATCCTCCCTGCTTATGATTGGGGCGGAGTTGCAGCCCACGCTAAGTTTCATCCTGCAGCTGCCAGACCACTACCAGCACCCAAGATAGGTACTTTAGGTAGGTAGGTCCCTTCCCTGCATTGGTACTGATCACCTGCTCAGAATTCTAGAAATTCAAAGCGTATTTCGTATTGCTTCAGCCTTCGATGGATAAATAGCCATTTGCGTCGCGTATGGGGAGTTTCAAGAGTTCAGGGCTTTATGATAATGAGTCAACAGACTCCATGTTAATCTAAATCTAGCAAAATTTGTGCAAATTACAAGCATGAACAAATTCTTACCAATATAGATCGGAGAAGAATGGGGTATTTTTTTTTCACAGCAGGAAAACTTAAAATTACTTAAATGACTGTGTTCAAACACCAAAAATGCAAAATCCAGAAAACGCTACAGATCTATATAGCAACAGAAAACTGCAGCTAAACCTGGGAATCCTAAAACACCAAAAAAAGAGCTAGCTCTATGAAAGGATAATCAACCTTACTATAGCCTTTATTGTCTACCTTTGTGTCTACTCCTTCCCCGTCATCCAATTAAAAAAAAAACAAACCTCACTTAAAACAAAAAAATCTCACTTAGAAAGGAAATCCATTCAAGAACTCAGCAGCAAGATTTTAACTGCTCTGGCTTGGTGAGTAACTCTGTTAAGCTCCGGCTTGGCCGATCAGATCATGATTCTTGCGTGTGTCGCAGAAGATGACAAAAATACCAACTGTGGTGAAATTATATTCACGCCAACAAAGAAACTGTGCAAGGCCCAGTGCAGTGGTTACACTGCCGTTAATAACTTCTTTAAGAGCTCTGCTGAAGCACAGGACTTGGTAGGAAATGTCATTTTCGAGTCATTAATATCTACACAAGAGACAGCCACTTGTCTCTGGCAGCTCTTTTTTTGGTTTTTTTGGTCTTCAAAGTATTTTAAAATATGCCCAACTCACTAAAGCTAGACAACCTGCTGAAGCCACCAGCAGCGCCCACATGCTTAAAGCAGGGTCCATGCTCCAGGTACTTTGCTGAACTGGGACCTTGACTGCCCACCAGCAGGCATTTGAAGCTGGCGTTTTATTTAAAAAGAAAACAAAACCAACCCCAAACAAACAAACCCAAAACAAAACAAAACAAAAAAAAACCCCACCAAAAATGCCCCCCAAGCCCAAGCCAGGGTGATCTAATATTCTAAGCTTTGCAATTACTCCTTCTTTAAAAGAACACTGTCATTTAGAGTTCCTCTTACACACTTCCATATGATGATTTTCATTAGTAACAGCGAGAATAGCTTTTCCGTTGAAACAGATAAAAAAACCTTATACAGTGCTTTACTATAAGCTGATTATTTTTAAGTTATGCTTACACGTAACTTCCGACTTACATTTTTCAGGCGGCGTTATTGTAATAGTCTGAGCTGTAAATTCTTCATCAAAATACCTGGTGTCTGTCTCAGATGTCACTTGAGGTTTAAAAGGAGGTACAAGCTGAAAGGGATCAAGAAACAAAATTGAATTACTATACCTGAAACCAGCCAAATGACTACCAGGAAAACAAGTAACAACTTCTTTTTCCCT